GTCAGGCTCTTGCCCTTTGTGGCTTTGCAGGCAGCTCAGGTTCTCCGGCAGGGTGGATGTATCTCAGCATGCATTGCAGCAGCCTGTGCCTGCTTGAGCAAGGGGCAAATTCTCTGTGATGTGGACTGCGAAATCATTTGTGAAGTGTACTGACCCATTGCCATCACCTTGAAAGTCTCGGCTCCAGGCTAAACGCTGTAGGTTTGAAGAAAGCTCGGCTGAGAGCCTCACACCTCTTACTGCACTGGAATACTATTTTCCTTGCATAGATTCTCTGGGCTCTGACTGAAATTTCAAGTGAAAAGTAAACACTGAGCACGATCAAGCTTTTAAGGCACAAGTACGCTTCTATGTATTTCCTTGTTAAACTAGTGTAGGAGGCCTGATGCACGATGATCTGCAGCTTTGGGAATTGGAGGTGATGCAAATGGGATTTTGCGCTGATTCAACCCTGGGACTGGATTTCACCTGTAAGTGCAAAAAATGCATTCAAACAAATCCATGTTTAAACAACAGCCCATTTTCCAACACAGATGATTGAATGCAAAGAAATTCTTAAGGTACCTTGCTATCCTTCTGTCTCCCATCCCAACCTATAGCCTCTATAAGAGACCCAGGGCTCAGTTCCAGTTAGTAGGGGGTCACTAAGCCGCAGGAGCAACCGAATTCGTGCCGGCTCCGATCACTGCCCACCTACGGTACCGAATAGGCAACACCAAACCCACTCCTTTATTCCAGACACAGAGCTGTCTTTGAGGATCCTCGTTGTTTTTCTGTTCTCTGTGATTCTTTCCAGATTGCCTGAAAATCCCTTTGTTGATGTAAATGCTAAAATCATACACTTTTAAACGAGATCTGGCAATAATCTATGTAATTCATTTAAAGGGGAGTTCACAAGACCTTCAAACATGAATAGAAGCCCTGTAATATTGTGTTTAGCCAAGTATATCTCTGTATTTCAGCCTGTCCAAAATATCTAATGTGAATTAGGCAACTAGCCCTATTCTTAATTGATTTTCCTGTAATCCTGGAAGAAATTATTTTCGTCTTCAAGTGTTGTTTTCCTTCTTCCTATAGTGAGTACCATGCAAATCTTTTAAAACCCCTTACATTAACTGCGGTGGAAATGTAATTGTTAATCTGTCCCCCAGATGTAATGTTTTCACTTGAATTTTTCAAAGCAGAGCCTGAAAGTAAAGTATACAGCATTCAGTTTGGAGCCTTCTGAAGGAAGTCACCACATTTCATATTTTCTCCAGCTTTCAGGGGAAAGAGGATTTGCAGGAAAACAGAGGAGAAGGCCTCGAAAGGAGATGCAGAAGCTAGGAGCTTCCCCCCTCCTGGCCAGTGAAGTCCCAGAGGAGATGTGCACATAAGCAACTCCAGATCAGTGTGCAAAGTGTCATCAAGCAGACCCTGTGAAGTCGCAGGCTTTGCAGCTATCAAATGATATTAGTTTTCTGTGCAGAATTTAGTCTTTCAACACTCTGTTGTTTTTCTAAAATAGACCTTAATAAAAACAGCCCAACTTACCTGGATCCCAAGGAAAACACTTCATCGCATCAGTTTTAAAGCATTACCATTATACCTTGATTCTTCTTTTGGAAATAGAAAGAATTCCCATGTATGTAAAAATTCCCCATTGATCCCTGATCTGCTCCAGAATTCACCCATCATCTGGTTTTGATTCCTCCGCTGCAGGATGCCCCGAGGGAAGCTTTGGCCCGAGCTGTGCACAGAGCTGTCGGTGCCAGAACGGAGCTGCCTGCGACCACGTGAGCGGAGCCTGTACTTGCGCGGCGGGCTGGATGGGAACCTTTTGTGGAAAAGGTACTGTTGCTCCCTCTGGTCCCTTTCAGATTTATGCAGATGGGGGATTTTTTTTTTATGCAGAGAGTTGGTTTTACAGTTTACAGCACCTGATTTAAATAAACCACTGACGTTAATTGGAAGATGATGCTGAAATGTGCGCTTCCATTCTAACTCAGCAAAGCATTTCAACCTCTGCTAGGAAGACAGACTGAGAGAGTTGGGGTTGTTCAGCCTGGAGAAGAGAAGGCTCCGAGGAGACCTTAGAACAGCCTTCCAGTACCTAAAGGGGGCTTATACGGAAGATGAGGACAAACTTTTTAGCAAGACTTGTTGCAATAGGACAAGGGGTACTGGTTTTAAACTAAAGGAAGGTAGATTCAGATTAGATATAAGAAAAATTTTTCGCAATGAGGGTGGTGAAACACTGGCACAAGTTGCCCAGAGAGGTGGTAGATGCCCCATCCCTCGAAACATTCAAGGACAGGCTCAAGGACGGGACTCTGAGCAACCTGAGTTGAAGATGTCCCTGCCCACAGCAGGGGGATTGGACTAGGTGACCTTTAAAGGTCCCTTCCAACCCAAACCATTCATTGAGTGCCTAGTGTTGGGCACGTGTTTTAATGTGGTTAAAATTAAATACACGCTTAAGACTCCTGCTATATCACATCTTTATGAAAACTCTTTATAAGCAGAGTCCTACTGTTTGAACACTGAGCAGAAAGATGCTTGTCCTGCCTTACGCTTGGCTGTTCCTATTGCCTCTCTGAGACGTTTTAGAGAAAAACATGAATCTATGCATCATCCCAAAGGAATTCTTTAAGAACAGATATACTTTTAACTTTAATAAATCCAACAGATCATTTTCTATTACCTGATCATTTGGTAAAGTGCTGGAAAGGTTGGACTGGATCCCTTGGGTACATTATTGTGAGTCGGTCTGTGGCGTCGTCTAAGGAGGTTGCCATCGTGCTGCATCATTGTGCAGATCATAAAAAATACAGTCTTGAATACAACAGAAACAACACGTAGTCAGTCAGACATTATGAAAGTTATTTAAGTGGAAATGATTGAAGATTCTACAAATGATGATCATTAAGCCAAAGTCACAATTATTTTGCTTAGAAAGCAGCTTTATCAGCCAATTTTCAAAGGCAGCGTTTCAGCTACGGTGAAGCGGCAGCATTGGCGGGCAGCTGCTGCCCTCTGATGGGAAGGGACCTGCTCCACAGCCTCACCAGTCCTGGGGCAAAGGACCCCACTGACAGGAGTTCAGATATTGCTTTGGTTTCCCTCTCCTTCTTACCAAGAACTATTATACAAAACAAAGACTCTTTTCAGGGTTCTGCTGCAAAGCGTGCCTCATAATTTGTGGTATCTCCACTATGTCCCTTTTTAAAATGATTGCGTTGAACTCTGTTTTTGTAAGTCTATCCTTTTTTTTTTTTAATTATTTTTTATTGGAAAGCAATACAGTTATCTGTGGTGTTGTGTAAATGTGCTCGTTCCAGCAGGACTAAAAATGTTACAAAGAGGCTAAATATCCTTTGCCAAACTAGGTGTGAGGAATATGGAGAAGCCTGGGTGTCATCTATTGGAAAAAGAAATACAAGTCTCAGCTTCCCAATCAGTCATGTTGGACATTTTTATCTTTTTAAATTCCTGAAAGAAGGTTGTGGAGGAGAGAGTAGATTTTAGCACTTTCCGTTCATCACACCCTGTTTTCTACATGTTTTCTCTCAAGCAGGCAGAGTGTTTGCTCTGAGCTGACTTGTGTTACCTTTTCACGTAGAAAGTTTCAGCCAGAACGGTTTGGCTGCTTCCAAAAGATGAAGAGGGAGGAAAACGTGTGGGTGGTTTGCCCTTGGTAGAAACTTCTTGGCACCTTCTCTCTGAGGAGCTGTAGCACTTCTGTTTTTAGTGACTCGGAGACTGACAGGGTTTCCTTCTGGCGGGGATGTGCTTTTTGCCGTCTTTTTGGCAATCCACCCATGTTGGCCAAGCTCTGCCTTGCAGACAAGAATGTAGAGGTTGAGACCTGGTGCAACTGGGTTGCCCTGGACTTCTCACATACTGCTGAGTCTTCATCTCATGGCTGGGATGGACATTTTCATCATTGCAGAAATGTTGAAGCTGAAACTTTTGCAACCTTCTAAGTTCAAAGTCCTAGGAGAAGACAGTACCTTACAAAATCTAATATTGATTAATATTAATAATTAATATCACCCCTGCATAATGAGCGCGTTTGAACCTGCAGTCATTGCTTCTTGTATTTTGCATTGTGGTAGCATAGGATCCAGATTCAAGCTGAAATTCCAGAAGTCCCAAAATTTGTCTTAGGGTTTTCTTGGAATTGGTTTTCTTTTTTCGGGTGGGAACAAAGTACTGCTTTTTCTTTTCATTAATTTACTACCTTCAGTATGAAGTAGGGCTTCATGGGTTTACGTGCCACTCCCTGTTGCAAAACGCCACTTCAGTGGTCACTTCCAAGTTCTTTATTTGTCACAAATTTCCATAATGTCTTCTTATGATTTATTAGCATTGTTAATGTAATCTTACACCTTGCTAAGTCTCAACATCGGGCTTTTGTAGTATCTCTTTTTATGGTGAAGTTAACCAGGTTTATCCAGCTTACTCTGCCTCTGTGGATGCATACTAGCAGCTGTAGAAAGCTCTTGGAGGATTTATGGCACTTTGTTGAAGTCAATCTGTATTTGTCATTTTGAGCAGTCGTGTTACCAGCTGACGTGCTGCGGTATCTTGACTGGTAACCAGTGTTCATCCCCTGATGAGACAGCCAACCTAAGGGAAAAGCACCGTTGTGTTTGAATGTGCCATGGTGTTTGTGGCAGGGACAATGCTTCAGTCGTATTTCAGTTTTAACTGAATCAAGACAAACCTTTCAATTCTCTGGACTCGAGTATTTTGGAGGTATGACCCAAGACCTTGTATGTGATTCAGTGTTCTCTGAAAAGAGCATGAAGAGTAGGGACAGCGTGATGGCTCAGAAGGTGTTTGCAATATTCGGTGCAAAGCCACATCACCCTCCACCAGCACGGGACAGTTTCCAAGCTAACCAGTAGCAGGAGATACTGTTGCTGCAGGTTGCCGTTTCGTGAGACCTCGTTGTGAATTATTCAGGAGTTGACTGAGCTTCTGTGCCCTCAGCCACAGGGTACTTCAAAGAGACCTCACACTCTTCAAAGTACTTTTGTCTGTCCATCAGCATCTCAGTTCAGTCAACTTCAATCAGCTGTTCTTCATCTCCATCTGGAATCGTTCAGTCGTACTGCTGCCTCTCTGGTAGTGGTGTGATCATATACAATAATAATGGGTAAGAATAAAGCTATTGAGACCCTTCCAGAAAGAAAATTAGAAATTTCTGAAGGTGGTACATGCCTACTCCGTCTTTCAGCTCTGCTCAGTCCTTTGGAAAATTGAACCTTGTGAATCTTGTAACTCTTTCAAAAGAGTTGCAAAAGGAGCAGAACTGTTTCAGTTGCAAAATAGCTAAAGTGCAAATAAGGCTGAAAACCAAATAATTTACAAAGAAATGTTTGCAGTCTGTATGAACAACCTAGGAAAGGCTTCCTTTGCGTTTTCTTGAAGGCAGCAAGTGTTACAACCAGAACACTGAAGAACTAATGTACATTTCTTCACAAGGTCTCGCATTACCAAAGGAAAATGAATCTTTTTTGGTGGTTCATTGAGAGTCACACTGCTAGCAATGCCGCCAGATATCTTTCATATCTAAGTGGAGAACATTACATGCCTGGGGAGAAGGCACATGAGGCACATGTGGAGTTCTGGTTGTTCCTGAACTGAAGCGGCATCTAATGCCTCTATATCCCTGGACTGTGCAAAGGCAGTGATTGTAGCAAAAGGTGGTTTTGTAAGTCCTTTCTCTATTGAAGCATAGATAGCCTGACTAGTATTTTCTCCAGAAAAGGTGCCAACTGTGTTCACGCACTGCTGCAGGGCTGTGGTTTTAATGCACTTACAGCTAAACAGGCAAGTCTAAAAAAACCCAACAACAACAACAAAAAAAAAAAAACCACCAAAAAAACCAAACCAAAAACCCCACCGAACTCCAAAACCCAAACCCAATCTTTCTTGCAATAAATAGATAAATATATCAATGCTTACTCCAAATAAATGTAACCATCTGACATGCAGGAAGCCTGAGCCATGGGCCCCTGATGTCTGGCAGCCCAGCTGCCCCCCCAGCAAACCCAAAAGCACCCCAGCTGCGCCTGCCTTCGCCGTGTTACAAGCATGCCGAGCGAGCCGTCACCCTGCCCTGCACCAGGCTTGCTCTGCTCCTCTTTGGCAAGGCGATTGTTATAATTGATTTAATTCGGTGAAGTGCTGAGCATCTGGTGCTCCCGCTTTGAAGGTTGCGATTGTCTTCCCTGCACTATAATTCTGTTTAATTTTGTTCCCCGCTGCTCTCTGGTATGTGCTGTATGACCCAAGGCATGTGTCCAGTTACGGGATCAGGCCAACAGAAGAATTATCCAGTTCGCTGCTTGATCTGACCAAATATGCCAAAATGCTACACAATTAGCCCACAAACTGGAGGCAGCAGGAGTCTCAGGCTGTCCCTACAGTATGTTTATTAATGGATGCATGAATAACGCCCACGTATAGCCCTTGTGAAGGGCAGCACTCAACAGTTGGCATTTGAACTGCTGTCTAAACCAGCACTACCGCGGGACAGACTGACTGGGCTTCTCTCTTGGGATTTCAGCAGTTAATCATTATCATAAGATAGCCTAGCAAGATTTCTGTTTTAATAAGATAAAAGGGAAAAATAAATACTGTGCATGCCTAGGAATAACTGACAGCGCTGTGTAGTCCCTGCATTAAACAAAGAAAAACTCTGTCAGCCTTTGAAGTCACCTAGGGTTAAGTAGGAGAAGTCCTTTCTTGTGTGCTATGCCATACACACTACTGAAGCATAATAAATAAGGACATAAAGATTGAAACCACATGCTGATGTCTCTTCCTTACAACTTGATAACAACTCTCTCCCCAGTACGAACTGAACGGAGGCTAAATAGCCCAGGCGTGAAGAAGACACAGGGCAAGAAAATGGACAGAAGAGTCCAACGGTGGAAGATGCATATGGATAACGGTGCTCTCTCTCTGGTGGAGAGCTGTGAAGTTAGTGTGGAGGGTCATTGGGTAGCGTATGTGGTGATAATCGTCATAAGCCTCTATTGGGAAGGCAGTTGTTCTGATTTCATGGTAGAAGTGTGAGGATCGGGTTTTAAATATAAGTTTATATTGAACAAGGAGGACAAAGAGCTAAATTTTATTAAATAACTGCTTATTTAATGAGCACCATCGCTTCTGAGATGGGGATTCTGTGGATAGAATGACATACAATTGTGTATCTGCAGATTTATTATCATTTAGTATAACGTAATTATACATGTACTTATATCATCTAAACACACACACATATATATGCAGACAGAAAGGTTAAATTAAGGGTACATAGACAACATGATTCCTAATTATTTTTTTTTAACTCTGCATGGCAGCCTTAACGTTCCTGTAATGCAGCACTTTGGGTATGATGTGGCCCACTGACAAGCACTGATGGCTTATTTTCACTGCTGTCAACACTGGTACGGATGTAAATTGAATCCGTGGGGCTGCTTTTCCTTACGTGTCCGTGATGGTAGGTACTGAGCTCCTTAAGCTCCCTGGAGTTATTTCGCTGTGTTTAATTTGTCTTGGTTTTCTTTATTCGTTCTTTTTGCCAGGTTTTCATTTCAGCTCTGAACTACGACACTATGGCTTATGTTCGCTGCTAAAAAATCTTCAGAAAAGTGTCAGCAGAGTAAATGGGAGCATAAGTTTTGCATTTCAAAAGGCAGGGAGATCATCAGGAATGGCCCCATAGTTTTGCATTATGTTGAATTATTTCCTTTTTCCTCTGTCCATTACAGAAGCGCAAGTACTGGCTTGTGTGAACCCAGATCCATTCTTTCTCCTGTTTTATGGCTTTTCAGTATTCTCAACTGTGTTTTTCTGTGCAGAAGTCTGTTGGCTGTGTAAAACGGGTCACATTTTTTCTGAGACGCACGTAGCAGAATGGTGCAGGCTTAACCCTTGAAGCGACTTTGGCTCTTAAGCCTGGTCACAGAGTGCCGTGTGACGAAGCATCCATGAAAAAATGAGCAGCGCCCCGTGTTTTCAGATCTCTGAGCTAGTGTTCCTACAAAGAAAGAAACAGGAACTCTACTAAAAATTAATGTTTTTCATTTCAGCTTGTCCAGATGGATTCTTTGGGCTTGACTGCCACCAGGTGTGCAAGTGCAAGAATGCTGCTGGCTGTGACCATGTCCTGGGAACCTGCCGCTGCCTCCCCGGCTGGCTGGGAGAGACCTGCGAGCAGCGTACGTATGGGCCACCCTCACCATCCCTCTGCCAAACCCTTCCAGCCCTAACGTGGGTTTCTTCTGGGAATGTAGGCTGACCTACCAGGGTACAATTTTAGATAGGTCACATTCCTTTCTAAAGATGCCAAAAAAGGGAATAATTTTTGGTAGCTGTATAAATAATCAATGTTTTATTTTTAAACGCTGTTGGCACTTCTCAAACATTATAAGCATCAGTTTTTAAATAGCAGCACTGTCTTTTACCATATCACAAACCTCTGCTTTTTATTTTTGTGCAACATTAAGAGGTGAAATGTTGTAGTTCTGTTTCTGGTGTATCTTATCTAATTATCGATTATAAAGTGACAGATTACAAATGCGCAAAGTGGAAAAATCAGAACTGGGACTATTTTGCTGTTTAAGCATGACAAAATAGTTTTTCAACTAATTCTTAGAAAAATTTATTTGTTTTTAAGGAAAAAAGTCAACTTCCTAGGATTATCCCACTGTCTTTAAGCTAATAAGGATTTTTGGATGTTTATGTGTATACATTTACAAAATTAGCTCTTCTGAGAAATTGTTCACTAAAATTCATGGGAACTTAAACCATTTTCTTTAGTTGCATGGCATTACATATGGAGATCACATATTTGCAAAATTTAACAAATCTGTGGGAGTTTTTAAAGATTTTCAGATTTAGCCTCTGACCTTCCTAGTTTCGCTTTAGGATGATGTCATGGTCTATGCTTCCTTTTGAAAATATGACTGCCGTCTGCAGAGCTGTGTTGTAGAGCTAGGGTCCAAAGCAGCTCCACAAGGAGCCAACTTTCATTATTAGTGAACGCTTCCATAAGACTTCTTTAATCCATAGGTTGCAGATTTCTGCAATAGAAAATGGGTTTAATTTACAAAATAGAGAGAAATGTTACTTGTATTGAAACAATTCTATTCTCTAGCTATGCACCATGTTATAATCAGCCCTGGTTGAGGGCTGCGCTTGCTCTTCATAATATTTTTCCCTCATTTGCCCCCACCATGCAACGCAGCCTGTCTTCTGAAAGGGCTTCTCCTGAAAAATCCCCTGCTTTGTTGATTTACAGGAGGGTCAATGCTGGTGAATCTTTCCAGTTTTTAGATATTTCTGTGAACATCCCACCATTGCAGTCCTTTTTGCCTCCTCCATAGGAACACTTAGCTCTCCATCTCTCACCACCTTAAGATGGTGGAGGCAATACACCCCTGTGGGTGTAGATTAATGAGCTGACCATGAAATAAGTGGAAAGCCAGAGCCATATAACCCCACTGCAGAGCAGAAAAAGGTGCTCCTGAAGAGGTACAATCTTTGCTTCTTGGTCGCAGCCCATTTTTACTGCCAAGCCACAGCGTTAGCAATGTGTCACCTGCGCCTTTCCCGCTCCTTAGACTGCAGTAGGGATGGGAAGCTTTGTTACATATTTCATTAAATTCAATTAAGAAATGCAGCTCTTTCTCCACGACCTTCTGTGCCCTCCTCTACTTGCATAAGAAAAAAAACTATTTATTCGCTTGTGCCGCAGCCATTAGAGCTTTATGCCAGGTTGATTTATTTGTCACTCTGGTGAAGATGCCAAAGCCACCGAGGTCTCCTTTGCCTGTAAGTAAAAGAGCAAGGTCAGTTAACAGTGCAAAGGTTAACCTCCTTTTCTCTTACCTAAATGATGAATCTTCATTTCGATTTTTAAGACTAGACCTTGGCCAGGCTGCTCCAAAGCTGCTCAGAATAAGGCAACCATGGGTCAGAGACACCAGCTCACCGCTCCCCATCCTTGTTGGGTGTTTAATATTCACCTTGCCGGTTCCTGGGACTCACCAGCTCTAGTAGCTGGAAGGACAGCACTCGTGTTCAAGTAATCAGATTGCAGGCAATGTGCTGGAGGATATTGAGGAGTAATTTTGACATCATGGGATTTGAATTGATCTTAAGCCAGTCATGCAGTGCATTTTATACACTGATATCTAATTATAGCCAATACAAATAGTAATGCCTTTTGTTGAAGCTGCCTAATGCTTTCCATTACAAGACCGTGTTTTTCAATTGCTTGTAAATGAATTACATTAATCTGGGATGAAATCTTTCAAGCAAGTTCTGCCTCAGCTTAAGTTTGTGTTTGGTGATTTTTTTATTTTTGGAGGTTTTTTGAGTGTCCGTCTAAGATATTGTAAGTTTCCAAGAAAGAAGTTTAGGAAAAGTATGTTGCCTAATTATTTTTTTTAGTAAACTGTTTCATTGAGTGTTGTGACACCTCTGTGATACAGAAGTGAGGACTTTGTGCTAGAGATGCAACCTTCCTTTCTGTATACAAACTCATCCAAATTTTGCTGTCTCAAAAAAAACCCAAAACAAAACCAAAGAAACCCCAAAATCTCATGATCATATGGTGTGTAGTAGCTGAACGCAATTCAGCATCTGCATTTTGCCCTGATTCTATTAGTACTAAAAACGTCTCTTTCTGGAGCTGTTGGGGCTCTGCAGGATCTTCACAGAAATGGTTCCTTGTGGTAAAAAAAGAGACAACACTGGTTTGCAAAATAAATGAGTACAGAAAGATCAGCTCTGCCAGAGTCCCTGCTCAGGGATGCTGATACCCAGAGGTTTGACATTTTGTGGTGTGTGAGCACTTGACTTTGCAAATTCCCTGTTCTTTTGAAGCCGAAGCTTCATTTGGGGGAGAATAATCCACAGGAGCTGCATAAAATCAAAGCTTCTGGGCACCCTGTGGAGTCTCAGTGCCCATCATTTCCCTGTGCTCCCTGACACTTTTGATGGCTGTTGACTACCAGTCTGGAAGAAAATCTTCGGTTTCATGGGTTCCTTACTCCATGTGCAAAGTGGATTTTAAAGACTGCAAATGAATAAATCCTCCTCTTACAGAGGAAAGGCACCAAGAGGAAAATTCTGAAGCAGGAAAAAGTCGAATAATGTAAGCAGTTCTATTGCTTCTTCCCTTTGCACTCGTCATGAAGAAAGGAGAAGAGATTCACGGATATTTGTACATTCAGTTGTAGAACTTCATAAAATAGCTTCAATATATCACTTGTTATCTTAATCTTCAGAAAAGTCCTTTGATAATCAGAATTGTCCTACCAAAAAGCTAAAAAAGGTTTGTATCCACCCAATAGAATAATTAAAATTTTCTTCTCCAGAAATCTCTTCTTTCTTACCAGAATTTTCACTGGAAAACTCTTTGGTCTTCTTGGTAAGCATAACAAGAGCTTTGCACGCATAGTCTGAAAACCTCACACGAACCACCAGTAACCAGTCAGGGATCCTGGTTATGAGCTGGTTTTTCCTTTGGCTTGGTTTTGATATAGTTCTGGTCTGTATTGTGGAAATATTTAGTTCTGCTCCCAAAACCAAGCCAGAACTCTGTAGCATGGGCTGAACTTTTAACTTGGCAACCAAGCCTCATTTGCAGAACAAACTTTTAACTGTGATGGGACTGAGCTCCTGCACTTTCTTGTGGTTTCAGTGTGGATGGGGTCCAAGCGATGACAAAAATGAACACTGTTGAAAAGAAGTCCTGGGAGAAATGGTGTCTGTGAGAACGGTTTTGGGAAGCTGGAACTCCTCAGATGGGAAGAAAAGGGCTGAGAATGTGTCAGACACTGTCAACCAAGTTCACCCCTGAGATCAAGATGGTTTTCAGTCCCCAAGGGCATGTCCTCCTGCAGCACTGCATCTTGTTCTGCACACTGACACCCTCAAGGGCAGAGAGGTTTTGGTGAAAAGTCATTATTTGGGTCTGATCCTGGGAGTTGTCACATTCAGTGAGTGCAGGACACTCTTCTGGATCAGGGATCGAGGATTTTTGGGTTTGCCTCTCCACTGCGTGCCGGCAGCACTGCAGGGATGAGAGACGCTGACAGCTTCGTACGGGTGAAGGAGAGCCCCTGCAAGGCAGGCACAAAAACCGTGCAAGGAGACTATCCGACTTCATCAGCTCATTTTGTATTTTTTGCGTGATATCAGAAGCAAACAGAGTAGCAGTACTGTCTGTTTTCTACCATTTGAAGCTACCCAAATCTCCAGTGCAATGGAGACTACAGGAATTTTATCACTGCCATTTTTCATAGGCAGCAGCACTGAAACCGGAGCTGCAGCAAGCGTACGTTTGTGAGATGGCTGCGTTAAGTTTTCACCTGGGAGCCAGCTGCTTAACTAAATGCATTGAAAATATCACCCCTCTCTGACCAAAGAATGAGACTCTGGGTGAGCAAAGGCATCCAGCTGTGAAAAATGAACACTGAAAACAATGAAGTTGTCAGTTCTTTTACCAGGATGCAAATAAATACCCAGGCTGTCAAGCTGGCGGTTCTGCTGGACCATTAGTTTAGCACAAAGCCATTCTGCAGGGCAGGGGATGACAGCTGATCCATCTCCCAAGCGATCCTGCCCTTCAATAAAAACCTCTTCAGTACGTGCTATGATACATATTTTTAAGCCACGTTATTTAGCGTCAGGCATGGTTAATATATGGACTTAGGCACCCTTATGGTGTGAAAACTCTGTCATCGGAAGCCAGTTTCAAACTGATTTCCCTGGTGCAGGGTTGTGTGTCAGGTTTGCTCTGTGCAATGCCTCCTTTGATGCTTCCTGATGGAGTTTTATGGACTTCTCTCCTTGCAGCCTGCCGGGGGGAGCCTGCCGGGGGGACAGCTAGGGGCCAGGCTGCAGCCACGCTTGTCGCTGTCACAACGGAGCGCTCTGTCATCACATCACCGGGACGTGCCTTTGTAGCCCGGGGTGGAAAGGAGCCACCTGCCAAGAAGGTACGGTCGGAAATTCAAACCCCTGCCACAGGATTGTAGGAGGGAAAAAATAAGACTTCTACTCAGGGGGGCTTCATTGGTATTTTAATTGTCAGCTCATTGCCCTGTGTTCTCATTGGTTTTGTGGCCACGCAACGATGTGGATCGGTCCTTTAAATAAATCTGTGACATCGTGTTGCAGGGGCTGGGTGTAGGAGCTCGGCGTACACAGGGCAGAGGGGGCTGAAACAGCCATAAACTGGAAAGAGAGCTGATTTTGAAGGCTGATTAAGGGAGAAAAGATCCATAAAACTCCCAATTATGACACTGAAATGAAGCTCTGTTTCTTTTCTTATGGCCTGCTTTACTGTCCCGTGCGCCTGACTGATCCTCATCGTTACCGTATGCTGTTCCAGACATAGGCTAAATCCAGAACACGTGAAAGGCATTGGGACTTCCAGCCTTGGCGATTAGAGCAATACGTGTGACTCAAACACAAGCCCAACTCCAAGGAGCCTTAAGAAAAGAGACTGGCAAAGAAAGGCTGCACTGATGCTTACATTACACATCCTAATCCCCTGCATTCAAGCCGCTAGAAAAAGTCTGTCCATCCCCATTGCAGAAGGCACCTTTTTCTGTGCCTCCCCTGTAAGGTCCCTGGCTCCGTAAGCCGTGCCACGGGGCCGGGGATGCTGCTGCGGATGCTCCTGGGTGAGCTGGGCTTTGGAGTCAGCACCTCCACGCAACCAGCAACTGCCCTTTAGCGTACCGAGAGGACGGTTAGGGAAAGGGGATGAAAGCTGGCAGGGGCAGAGGAATATGTAAATTAAGTGAATCCCCTTTTAAAACCTAATATGAAGAGCTGTTCCCATGAGGGAATGAAAAATTAGGAAGGCACCATTGACATGTATGACACAACCTAAAATTTTCCGTTTTGCTTGAAGGCGTCAAATACAAAACCAAAGCAAAAGTTAAAAAAACTGTTGTCAAATATGAAGGCATTGTCAAACATACCTTTTTTGTTTAATGGTACATTTTGGGATTTCTTTTCTCTTTGGAGGTAAGGAGGTAGAATAAGTATGTGGGGCTGGGTGAGCCATCCTCTGGTGACTGTGCTTTTGCAGAGTGAGAACTTACTCCCATGAGCATCTTAAAAAGCGGCCACTCTGGCACATGACAGAGGTGTGTATTTTTTGTACCAAAAAATTAGGTCCTGTTCGTAGGAGCTGATTGTGATGGGAATTAATAAACTTGCTTAATTAAAATCAGGTAAACTGTGAAATGTCATCAGCCAGCTGTGGGTAGAAGGATCAATTAGAAAAGGAGTTATGATTTTAAGAGGACTGTACAAAGAAATTCTGAAAACAGGGAAATCAGTTACTTCACTCCTTGGTGTTGAGAAAGCTGGAAGGAACCAAGAGATGTTTTTCATAAGCGCGAGCAGAAAATCTCAAGGCCGTTTGGTGGATCATAGCTAATTCACTTCAGCGCCTATTTTGTTCTCAGACAGGTTTTACACTGGTCTGTGTAATTCCTTATCAGTCATGGCCCCATTTTCACTTGGTTGCACCTCCCACAGCATCTCCACAATCACCAGGGCGAGAAGCGGGTGTAAGCTGGGAAAGGCTATGTTTAACCTGCGTTCTTCTCCTGCGCTTCTTAATGGAAGGCTTTTGTCCTACCTCCTCTTCGCAGCCTGTCCTCCTGGATGGTATGGTGTAAACTGCCTACAGCGCTGCGTCTGCCATGGCCAGGCGACCTGTGACCGTGTGACGGGCGAGTGCCGGTGTCCCCAGGGTTGGACAGGAATAGCATGTGAGCTGGGTAAGTCTCATCACCTCCTCCATCCATCCAGCACCTCGTCTCAGCCGCTCTGCAAGTCACCCAGTGCTGGTGAGATCTGGTTTGAGACAGGGCAGAGAAAGAGAGAGGAAGGGCAGAGGGCTGGAGAGCACCAGGTGTGGAGAGGTTGAAAAAGTTGGGATTGTTCAGTCAGATATGAGAAGACTGAGGGGAGATATGGTATTGGCACTTGAACGTACCATGGTGCTAGAAACTTGCTGGACGGAGAAGAGGAATAAGCTATTCTCCGTCCCTTGGGGACAGGAAAGACAGGTAATGAGTTCAAATTGAGGAGAAAAAAATAATAAAAGAAATCTTCCAAGAGGAAAACCACGTATTTCTAGAGAATTTTGTCAAGGGAGGCTTCAAAATCTCCCTCACTGAAGGTTTTTAGGACCAGCTTAGGTGGCTCACCATCTTTGAGAGGCATAAGTGTGTTCTTCCTGGAGCCCCTCCAGCCTGAGCCCCCATCAGTCTCCCCCATCTCGTTTCAGAGTGTGGGGACGGGAGGTACGGCGAGGGCTGTGAGCAGAACTGTACCTGTCGCCATGGGGTTTGTGACCAGCACTCGGGGAAATGCATCTGCCACGCCGGCTGGACTGGGGACCGCTGTGATGCTGGTAAGGGCAGTTCCTCCTGCGGATGCTTTATTTTAACACTCTTGTCTGCAATCGGCCATTTCTGCCTCCACGATATGAAGTCTGTTTCTATTTTGTACTTAATTTTCCAGTATTCTGCAGGTCAATAAGAAATAGCATTGCCGTGAGCACTCACTGTGTGTCTCGGGAGCCCCGCAGGCAGGTCTCTGCCCAAACACAAATACATGCCCTTTTCCAAATCACTTTATCTCCTCCTACTTCTGTTCCCTGCCTGCTAAGAAAATGAAGATATTTTTCTACCTTACGGGTGCAAGGAAGAACATACGAAAGGGAGCAAGTTGTAAGGAGAGTTTGCCAGATCAGCCACATGCTGCTGCATCTCTGTGGGTCATTGAGGGGAGCTCAGCACATCGGACTGTAACGGTTCCGATTGTACCGATCTTACATGTGGTCCAGATTGCCCAGATTTGCCATAGCTGTCTGGAATGTTTAGAGCCGTGTAAGTCCCTGAAATAGAAATCTCGTAAGCAGTAGATATCAGATGACTTGAAATGTGCTTTCAGCTCAACCACGGAGGTGCTGTGGTTTTTGGAAGCCACAAACAGTTTTCTGACATCTCCTGAGGTGCTGAGGACTCACAAAACCTCTGCCACCGGTGTGACCTGTCAAGTCTTTGCCGTGCCTACCTTCCTTTTCTTCAGGCCTCGCTTTCTCTTTGATTGCTTTGCAGAGACCTGTGAGGTGGAGAGCAGTACGTGGACACAGCTTTTCACAGTTCAAACAGCTGGCCCTCTGTCTATGCATAATTGTGTAAAAGTGAATGGCATCACCACCTCTGTAGACACCATCTGGATTTGTACTCTAGACTATGACTGAGTCTTTGCAAACTTTCATGTGCAGACTCATTAATAGCCAACGCTAAATACTTTTAATATTTTTAATATATTCTCTTTCAATGATATTTTCTGGGCATGCAGTCTTCTAAATATACATCGCCATGTGCAAGAAGAACAATATTGGCTCATTTGCCAGCGACGGATGCTTTCCATGCAGCAGGAAGAACTGTTGCTCACTCTGCTTCTCTTCTCAGCGTGCCCCCCGGGATTTTTTGGGAAGCGGTGCGAGGAGCAATGTGACTGTGTACACGGCTTGTCCTGCCACCATCAAACTGGAGCGTGCCACTGTGAAAAGGGATGGCGAGGGAGACAGTGTGACAAACGTGAGTGTCTGCTGGGCGTTCACGAAGCAAAGTTCAGGTTGGTGCATACGTTCCAAATCCGGAGCTGGTGACGGGATCCTTTTGCTCCCGCGTTGCTCCATGGGGTCGGTCTGGAGGTGCTCACGGGGATGGGAGTAGCAGATCCATTGGAGTGGGGGTAGCTTTGCCCTGTTCCCTAACAAGGACCGGTTGCACCATTGCAGCTTCTTGGCCGCTACGGCATGGGCTGTGCCCAGCGGTGCCGGTGCCCTGCGGGTACCCCCTGCCATCACCTGACGGGCGAGTGCGGCTGTCCTCCAGGATTCACCGGCTATGGCTGTGAGAAAAGTAAGTTTGTTATAAGAATGCAAATACTTCCCTTGTAAATGCATTAAGAAATTAATTTCTTTAATAAAAAACCTGATGATATAATGCCTGAAGGGGGAGGAGACAACAACCTCACAGCAGTGAAGATGGACAAGGGCTGCTTGTCACTCACCCAAATGGTTTGGCCGGTTCTGACCTCTGTGCCTGGCACAGTTTGGGCTGGCAGCGTTTACCCTCTCTAGGTTTGTGGCTCTCAGGCTGGCAGGGAGCAGCGGGGGGGGTAAACTGGATCAAAATAGACCGAGGAGATGCCAGCAGAGCCCGGCTCCTGCCTGCAGCCGTCACTGTGCCATGGATAAAGCAGCGGCTCTGCTTTCTATTGGCTTTGTCCCCGTGGGAGTAGCGTCTATTCCTGCTCTCAGAGCTCATGGAAATGTCATTATCTGGTTTTTCTTCAGTGTTGAGTTTGGCCGTCTTAGCTGTCTTTGAACGCAGGTTCGTTCTGTGACCTCGGCTCCGTCGTTTTAACTTTGTTCTTCCTTACAACGTTTTGCCTGAGCACTGCTTTAGCAAAAAGAAAAACAACAACAAAAAAGAATTAAAAGAATTGACGTTGGTGTCCCATATTGTCCGCTAAGGGACACTAAATCCTGCCGCACAACCAGGGCAACTTAATGGAAGTGAGACGTAGGAATTAGATGTGGAAGGTCCAAAACCTGTAGGTAATGTGGCTGTCAACAGGCAAAATGAAACCTGTAAAGATGTTGGTGCTACAGCAGCTTTGCAAGTTTAAACTCCCTGCAAAAGGTAGAATGTCTTTATCCCCATGCCTGGTCCCTTGTGAATTATACTGTTATTTTAGTCAATTTTATCTGACATTTCCCTATGATTTTTTCCTAGTGACAAGAAAATTGTATCTGGCCCTTGACAGTTGGGCACAAATTGACTGAATGAAACAAAATCAAGCAGTGAAGTAACCCCCAAGTAAATGTAATAAATCCAAAGTCCCGAAGGAGAGCGTCATTCTGTAGGCAGGGATTTTATTTAATAAATTTGAGCTTGCTCTTTGTTTGAGTGCTATATTTACCAAGACAAATTTAATTTATTGGCTTACGTTTCCTCTTCCCCAAGCTTGTCCACCGGGCACGTATGGTAAGAACTGTAACCGAGTATGTCAGTGCTCTGCCGAGAATGAGGAATGTCACCCGGTGAGCGGCCCCTGTGGGTGCCGCCCGGGGTACTACGGTGCCCGCTGCAACCTCCGTGAGTATCTTTGGGGGCTGCCCGCTTTCTGAGCAAGGACTGAGTTATGCAGAAGCATGTGCTCGTCCTTTGAGTTCATCTGTGTCAGTACCTTCAGTGTTGACTGACTCAATAAAGTATACAAAGGTTGGGTTAATTTACAATAATAAAAATACCTGTATTATTGCAAGGGATTAATGAATTTTTTTAAAAAAATTAAAAATTAATTTTTT